CTACCACCAGCGATCCCTTGGTGAGTGTCCACGTCCTATTTGCGAAGCAATTTGCATATCCTTCACGATCAAGGACAATTCTTGATATCAAATTCATCCGCATATCAGGAACATGTTGGACATTTTCTTAGAACAAGTGTGTATCTGACATTTGTCTTGACACGAATATCACCAATTCCCACGATCTTGGAGAAACTGGTGTTTCTCATCCTCACTGTACCAAAATCTCCTGCTTTATACGTGCAAAAGAAATCTCTGACTGAAATGAGATGATAGGATGCTGCTGTGTCAACAACCCACTCTGAATCAGAAGTGAACACCTGCATGCACTCCTCTTCTTCATTCATGACGAAAGCCACAGAATCATTATTTTACACTGCTGCAGTTGTATTTCTGTCATCACCTTTCTTTCCTTGTCCACCACTTTGCTTTGGTGGGTGTGGACAGTTCCTTTTAAGGTGATCTTGTTGGCCACAATTCCAACATCCTCTGCCTCGTGATTTAGACCTTCCTCTGGATTTGCCATGCCATTTGCTTGATTTTCTTTCCACATTCCTCCCTTTGTTTTTGGTGACGAAAGCTTGTCCCGAGCTTTCTAGCTTCTTTTTCATATTTTCATTGAGCAAGATAACTGACGTGACTTCTCCCAGCTCAATGGTGGTTTTGCCGTGGAGGATTGTCGTTGCCAAATTGTTGTAAGAGGATGGCAACGAATTCAGGAGTAAGATTGCTTTATCTTCTTCCTCAATCTTTACTCCAACATTTGCAAGCTTGGCTCTGATACCACTTGTTAGTACCAAGGTGCTTTGATGTCACTTGTTGGGGCCAGCACACCCACAGATAAAAAATACACTCACAGTAAATTTAGGAGGGGGTAAAATATAGACACCAAGATTTACATGGAAAATCCAAATCGGGAAAAACCACGAACAAGAGGGAAAAATATCACCACTATAGGAAGGAATTTACACAAGACTCTCAAGTATTTTTGCCAACTCGATATATCACTCACAAAAGAATTCTCACTTTTGTAACACCCTCGCTACAATAACCTCACCCTTTATACAAGAGAATATTTTTCACCCTCTCTCTAACTCTCTTCTTCCTCTCTTCGTTGGTGTGCAGAAAGGATGCCAGGCATTCCTGTATTTATAGGAAAGGAAGGTCGAACATTTTTTTCCCCGACAGCTGGCTCCAGCTTTAGCTCTTCAATTTGTCAAAACAATCTACAGCCACAACAGCAGCCATGAGAGAAATCTTCAAGCTGTTCAACAATGTAGGTTACTTTCTCCATTTGTCAAAATTGGAGGATTGCGACTGCACATGCAGCCGCAAGCCTTCCCCCTTTTTGTCATTAAACTATGGAGCTGGACCCCACAGAGACAATATGAACCCGTTCGTTTTCCAATCTAGTATCTGAAAAGAAAATTCAAAAGCCCTGCATGTAAAACAAGCTAGCTTTTGGTATTTTGGAAGGGGGTGGGAAGCAACTTTTTCCTTTTGGGGGATAATTTAAAAGCTAAAAGTGATTTATATTGATATGCTCAGCTCTTCTCCTCCACAACTACCAAAATTGTTCGTGTTTCCCCAGCCGAACCACAAGCATAAAAGATTTAAATTTCAGAAAGTCCAAAATGCAAATTCAAACCCCCAACATTTCGACAAACGCCTAAGCCCCAAATACAGGCCCAAGAGCTTTTGCTCTTACCCAATCTAGGATAGATGAGCTAATTTTAAGGGCGGAAATGTGGTTTTCCTAAAAATTAAGCTGACAGGGACGGAAATTTTTGCTATTCTTGATTCAAATTTAGGTCAAATTTTGAAATCAATGAAATTTCATCTAAAAAGTGAAATTCAAATAATATTTGTTTATTTTTAAAATTTTAAAATCAAATGTGTTATAATTAAAATATTATAGCAAAACAGAATTAATTTAAATAAAATTAAATGGATCCTAAAAAGTATAATTTAAATTTTTTTTTTCTGAATTGTTTAAATATAGCTGTCCTTAGAAAACATGTCACATCTGTAAAATATTATAAAAATTTTGTGGTTATTAAAAAATCTGAACACAACGTATGACTTTTAATTGGAAATAATTTTACATGTGAAAATTACTTAATTAGATGTAAAATTATGAATCACATCAACTTAATTTGATAAAGAATGAAATGAAATATTCAGCATGTTTGATATTCATTTTTTGTTTTCAAATAGGAGTTCCATTTATAATAAAATTATTTTGCTAAAATTGAAATGAAAATCATTGTTGAAGGAAATAACATTGTTAGGATCCAAAAAAAAAAAAAAAAATCCAATCAGTCACCAACTGGTGAGGGTCACCATGCACCGGCGAAGGCCAACTTTTTCTTAGAGTTTTTACACCATTCGAGCCTATTTAACTGGACGAACCAAACCCCCCCCCCCAATTAATTCCTATCTTTATGCAAGGGAGAGGGAGAAAAACGAGTTGGAGGAATCCGGTGTCTGTCCGTGCTTGGGAAAAGGGGTTTTGAAATTTCAACCGATTGATCAAGTTTGATCTGGTTTTGGAGATTCTTGGAGCTTGCCGAGCTGTAGTCTCCGTTTTCTGAACATTGTGGACTGAGGTAAGTGGGTTTCTCAGGTTTTTCCGGGTGGTCCGACGGCCGGATGTTGCTTCTGGCACTCGGTCTGAGACCCGGGTCACCCGGCGAAGGAGATAGGACCCGAAGGGTCCGGTCTTGTCCGGGCCTGGCCAGAGGAGAAGAGGCCTGCGGTCTAGGCCACGAGGCGAGCCGAGTTGACTCGGTGAGTCAACTCGACCCTGAGTGGTCAAAGGCGAGTCAACGCATTTGGGTTGACTCAGTGAAATCGGGATAGGCTATCCTTGAGGACAAGGGAAGTTGGAATAAAGGTTGATTGAAATAGTGGGAATAGAATAAACCAGAATTATTAATTAATTAACAATTAAAGTTAGGGTTTTGGGCAAGTGAACCGCCAGGTTTGACCGGCCGGTTCTTTGGGCAATTGAACCGGTTCCTGGCCCGTTGTGTTGAGGAATATTAGACTAGATGGGTTTGGGGAATTTTGGAGGCCAGTTTAGTGTAATTCCCTTTGGGCGGTCGGTTCACCCCATTTTTGAACCGGTTCTTAGGGGATTTGAACCGGTTCCTGGTTCAACATCACAAAACCTAGCTAACCATGTAATTTGAGAATTTTTGGAAGTTCGGTTCAAGGTGAACCAGCTCGGTTTTGTGGCTGGTGCTTAGGATTAGTGTTTTTTGCTCCAGTTCAGAGCTAGTTTAAGGCCTTTTTAGCCGATTTAGACCAGTTCTTAATGTTTTTGGGCATTCCGGATCCATTTTTAAGGGTTTCGTGGCCAATTGAGTTAAGTTTGAGATAGTTTTAGCCCAGGTTAGGCCGGTTTGAGAGTTTTGAGACCGGTTCATTCCGGTTTGAGAGTTGTTGAGGGTTGTTCATTATTATTAAGAGTCTTTGAGCAGAGTGGTTGAATTATAGTGAGTCATATGAGTTTCGATGATGAATAGTGGCACCTCGAGATGCGTGCCAGGCACCGATTGGGATTTGAGTCAGTCTGGGATTTTTGAGTCTGTTCTTGTGCCAAATATGGCAATGGTGATGGTTTTTATGTGGTTTGATTGCAGATTCTTTAGTAAAGGCATACCTGGACCACCGAGTCGGGTGAGGTGACCTAGGACTGTACTTTTGACTCGACTTATACTGTGAGTGACAATGCCTTCTCTATGCATGCATTTATACTATGTTTTCCGGCATGACGGACTTTGTGCTTTCTTACTGTACTTTAGATAGTACTACTATGGGATATGTATTACATGTTTGATAAAGTGATAGTGAGCTAGATTTGTACATTGTTATCGATATTAGTGGCATGATTAAGTGTGCATATGTATATGCTTGTTTAACTTGACATGTAAGGAGTGATGCTGTGTCATGAGGCTGGATTGCTCCAGTTGCGAGATGGAGATGCCTCTAACCGGGAGCGTGAGACATGTGATTGAGTTGAACCCGATGATCGTGAAACGGAGGATTCCTCCGATCGGGAAATGGCCGTCTGATATGTATGCGATGTCTATGATCGTGAGATGGAAGATACCTCCTATCGTGAGAGTCATGAGGCTGGGTCTCATGGCAGGATTTGTTGTACTCCCACATGTTATCAAATGTTGTTATTGCTCACTGTATATGTATATGTGTGTATGTTTTGGTCTAATTCTGTGATACACGTCCCATCATGCATAGTTTAGGTATCGTCCTTACTCACTGAGTTTCGCGACTCGTACCTTATTATTAACCTTTCAGATCGAGCTGACTGTTCGTGTACCAGATAGTGGTGTTCCAGATTCGCACTTTTCGAAAGTCGATCGATGTACGGGTGAGTTTTTTTGTTTATCTGTATTTGCATTCCAGTGCTCCCTATATCCCTCAAATATGATTCTGTTTGTATTTTAGGACTACATGATGTATATAATATATATATGAATATGAATTGTTAAATATCTGGGTATGAGTTCATTTGTATTAGGCTGATTAGGGTTGTGAATTCTAGTGACGGTCACGGACTGAGATTGGGTCATGACAAACATATTTGTTATTGATAAATATTACAAATATTTAAAAATAAATAAATAAATAAATCATGAGTCCCGCATGCAAGGCTAAACTCCAGTATAGATATCCACATAATTAATCCCTCATTTTTTTTTCTTTTTCTTTTCTCAGCCTGCAAAAGTTCATTGCTCCATTTCCGACCGCCACGTTCTGCATGCCTTAGACGAATTTACGGAAACTCATCCGACGCTTCCGTGCATCTCATGCACGACGCCACGTAGCGCCCCCCGACGCCTTCTCTCTACTCTGCTTCTCTGACTAGTTCTTCCTCCTCCTATCACCTTCTTCATCTCCTCTGATCTCTTCTCGTGCCTTCAATCCATCCACAAAGGTATAAACAAATTTCTCCTCTCTCTCTCTCTCACATAATGGTGAAGCTAGCTTCGGCACGTGAGGTCAGAATGTACGGCCCGAGGCCAGCCCGAAACAGAGCCGAGTACATAAATGCGGGGCTGTACATCTTCGCCACGATCGTGCTGGTTTGCGGGTTCGCGGCCCAGTTTTCAATGAATCCCAAATCGGGGCTCGTTCTTTTACTCATTTCCTCGGCGATTATAATCGCTGTGAATATGCACGACCTCGTGGCCCACCTGGCCGGCATCGACTACCGGCTCTCGCTGATGGGCTTCGACACGCAGCTCGCACTCGTGGAGTTTTCCGCCCCCCTGGTCCAGGCCCTCGGTACCCTTCTATTCTTCCTGGGGATTCTGTTTCTTTTCCTCCAGGTATTTAGCGGACACTTTATCTATATTCTTGTTCTTCCTGAAGATGTATGACGAAGTTGAACAGCATTCATAAGTCCCAAATAGCGTTGTCCCAAAGAAAGAAAAAAACAAAAACCCACTTTTTAAAAATGCAATAAACAGCCCTTAAATTTTTAATAGATTGGAATTAAGTGGGTGGCCAGAATTTGCTTGTTTTGAGGTTGGAAAGTTAGGTTTACCTACAAATATTTTCTTTTAATTTTTCCCATCAATATGTATTGCATTTTGATATTTTTTTTCTCTTTTGGAATTTTGGCTTCTGGAAAATGTAGGAAGAGAAGGGATATGGATACGTCAAGCTGGAGACACATGCTCTGAACATGCTAATCGCTGGACCTGTGTTGTGGGTCCTGGGTTCGATCCATAACTCTTGCCAGATCTACGAGAGATCTGGCGGTCACATTCAGGTCCTACAAGAGAGCGTCCACGTTCCCTTCCTCATGGGCAGTTGCTGTTCCTGGTTGGTGCAATTCTTAACGGTCAAGAGCAGGCTGGCTTAGTCCATCTTCACGGCCTCCATTTATTGTAAGTCTTGTATAGTCATTTTCTGAGCTGTTTTCCAGGTTCAATGCGGTTCAAAAAACAGTTTATAGCATAGAAAACACGAAATTTTTATATACTAAATTTGCTTTTTGGAATAGAAAGTTGAAAGAGACTTTTCTTAAGACGAAGGCACTTATAATCCGTTTGGGGACTTGACAGAAAAAGTTTTTTCTTCCTTTTCTTTTTCTAACCGCCCAATCCAAACAAGCTAAAGAATTAAGAGTAATAATGCAGCATTTGTTTGGTATGAATGCTGAAGAACAGAATTGAGATTAACTGTTGTGTATTATTATTGTCCGATAATGCCCTGTAAAATTGAGCTTTTGTATGGGCTTATGCGTGCATAAGAAGAAGCAGAAAGCAAATACACAATCATATCCCTAATTGATGCCATTACCATGGCTTTGTTCTTTGAGAGTTTTTGCCCCTCGTTTTTTGGACCTTTTAACTCAATATATATGTAAAACAAGAAATATTAAAAGAAGAAGAAGAAGAAGAAGAAAAAAGAGCCCTAAGGAGTCATATAACTTCTAAACACACAATACAAGGAGCTGAAGTTTTTCTTTTAGATGTTAAGAACCTCTTTTCGTAATTTTTTTTTTTGACAGAAAAAAATATGATTTGGGCAAGAAGAGTCTTTGCTTTTCTTTCCTTTTTTTCCATGGCGTTCTTCCAACACAGATTTGATTGAATCTGGTTTTTCCCCATATTGGGTGCAGGGTAGGAATTGGGTGTGGATGGGTATATTTGGGAGCTCACTGTTTTTTGTAGGGGGAATAACCAACCTGCTCAAAGTGTTCAAGATGCAACAGAACATTGGGATGACGAGGCTTGAGAAGCTGCGAGGAGGGCACAGGACCGTCTGCTACAGGGGAGGGAAGGAATCGGCCGGCTTCCGCTTGTTGCCGAGGAGGATAGGAGGAAGAACCTGCAGCAGGGCGAGGAGGAAAAGGTGGTGACCGGCGCTGCCCCACTCCTTACAATGGATGTCCTTGTTGGTCACTCTTGAAGCCCGTGGGATCTTCCCATCTTAAATCATCATCCTCTCCGCCGCCAACGACCTTCTAAACTTGTTACCATGTGGGAGAGAAATGTGGGCATACATTTTCTTAGTCCTTTATAATTATTTTTTTTCTGGTGGTCCAATCACTGATGACGTCGTGATGAATTCTCAATGTAAAAGAAGGAATAGGCTTAGTGACTCTGTAGAATTTTATAAATTTATAGGTATTAAAAATCTTAATTTGTGATTTTAAATTTTACACATACAGATCTGGTGACTTAACATAAACATTAGATTAATGAACTTTAAAATTATTTCGTACTAAACACTTCCTCCCAAACAGCATACTGTGTTTGGCTCATTGCATCAAACTCAAAGGTTGCACTGGCTGCAGCTTAGAGAACAGCATGACAAAAACACATTAATGCAAAATAAATAGAATTTTAATTTTCTTTGTAACGTGAATTACTACATTTTGGAATACATCAAGATGAATATAAATTAAGTTTTTATATAACTTTTTTCCCTAATAGTAATTAATTCCTTGTTAAAATGTGCTGCCCAATTAAATAATATAAATTTTATAATGAATGCTGGTAATTTTTATCAATATCTACAAGCAACTGGCCAGGAAATAACGAATACTTTAACTGTACTAAAAGCGAAGAATGCTTCTCTTGAGTCTTTTTTGGTTACAAACAGGGACTAAAGTCGAAGGAAGAGGAAAACAAAACAAAATTAATCTCGGGAAGTAAAAACTTCCATTAATTCACAAAAGAGCTAATCACATCGTATGATTGGGGGGATTTGCCCAATACGTTTTCAAACTCAAAGACGTCATTCTCCTTCCATTAATACTTTAGGATATTTCTGGTGTCTTCAGACTTAATCGTTTTTATAATTAAAAAATTATTGGCATTTATGATTTCTTTTTAAATTTTAGAGGAAATTAACTTATTATTAAATACCTAGTATTAATTTGTATATTGTCATATAGAATAATACATAAAATGTGATAAATTGAATCATGCTCAGCTGTCATGTATTAGGTCCTTTTTCACTATGCAGTGTGCATTAGTGCTCGCAATAGGTCCAATTGGGATTAGATTATAGGATGGATCATGCAAATTTGAATTAAATTCTATAAATAACATCAATCCGAAATTATATGATATGTGTATTTGGTGATTTTAAATTTGAACCTGAATAAAATATAATATGTAAAAATAATAATTTGTGAAATTTTTAAGTGATTGTATTTAATATTTTACACTTTAAAAAGTATGATCAAAACCAAAGTAAGAGAATTTTTATAAAAAATATATGTACTAATATATAATTTTTGAAATTTAAAAGTATTAATATAATATAATTATATTTATTTACAAAAATATTATATTTGAGACTAATACACTGGTGCAATATAATAATTATATATAATTCATTAATTCACATATTTTTTATTTTTATTTTATGAAAAAATAATTTTTTCTAGGTTCTATTTTTTTTAAAAATAATTTATTAATAAAAAATTGATAAATCAAATTTTTATTGTAATATAAATAGTATATGTCATATAATATTATAATATAATATAGACATATGTAATAATATTATTTTTATTCAAACTTTAACAAATCAAATGGGATAAAATACATGGTCACTCTATTTATTTAAATTAAAATTTTTAATTAAATAATATTTAATGAGTTTTTTCAATTAAAAATACTAACCGAAAGCGACGTAGAAATTGGTTCAGAATCCACTCGATTCACAGTTTTAAGTTGCCTGGTTGAGACATGAGGTGGGCCTAAAAAGAGCTGGGCTCTCTTCACAAAAGGAAAACAATTTTTGGGCCTCCCTTGGGGCTAAAGTACGCTTAGACATCGGATCACCCTTCCGCTAATGTCCGCAGGATGCATATATCATCCGGCGCCAAATATTCGTTTCTTTTTCAACGGGGAAGTTGTGTGCTTCATCTCGCAGACTATCGGCCTTCTTCCCCTCCGTCTTGTATGAACCCTAAATCGACATCATTTACGTAGTGCGCTTCAGCTCTCAGGTTCTAGGTATCATATCGAAATCATTTTATTCTCCATCTCTCTTTGTCTGTTTCCCTATCTTTGCGAGCAATTTTACATGGTTTATAAAATCGAATCCTATCTGAACATGACGTTTTGTGGATCGGCCCTCCGGGCCACAACTTTATGTCTAACATTGCTCTTCAATTATGGGATTGATTACTGCGCCGACTCTTGTTTTTGGATTAGCTGTTCCATATATGCGTTCGTGAACATATATGCATTTAGGCATGCAAAGCATGGTGCCTGCTAATTTAGCAAGCATTTGTATTTAGATGTTTAAATTTCTTCTCTATCGTGGTTCCTTGTGGAATCAGATAGATATTTGGCATCTATTGTATAAGCAGCAACATTTCTGTATCCATTTTCGCTAAGAAGGCATGTTCAATCGTTTCCGTGGAATTCGTTTCATCATGTTTATTGCCTGTGACAACTTCTTAGAAATCTTTGTTAACGACAACTTAATAGAAATCTGTTCAGTGACCACCTGGTAGAAATCTGTGTGTGATGCTTATACTCCCTGTGGTATATATATTTCTGGTCGTCTAGAGGGTGGAAAATTCATTACCAGACGTTTCTGGGAAAGAGGTTGCATGTCTGTATGTTTATCTTTTTGGAAGCAAGCATGTCAAAAGCACGTGCATTTGAACAAGCGTGACTGTTAAGTCCAGAGTGAACCTAATTAGTATTAGTTTAGTTATGGCAGTGAACCAAATATTATATCTTTGATTTTACAGCTTATGGATTCTGAGGTCTCTGTCTAATTGCATCTTGTTAAGAGGTGGATTTATGGTCTAGGATGTCATCTGTGTCCAGTCAGCCACAATTTCGGTATACCACAGCCCCATCCAAGGTTCTCCACTTGAGAAACTTACCGTGGGAGTGCACTGAGGAGGAACTGATCGAACTAGGGAAGCCATTTGGGAAAGTTGTCAACACCAAATGTAATGTTGGAGCAAACAAAAACCAAGCTTTTATTGAGTTTGTAAGTATACCTGCATTTCCTCTGCATGCTTTTTTATTCTTTTAGTTACATGGACCAATTCATATTCATATTGAATGTTAAAATTAATCTCAGGCAGATTTAAATCAAGCCATTGCAATGATATCATATTATGCTTCATCCTCAGAACCGGCTCAGGTACGGGGGAAAACTGTCTACTTGCAATATTCCAATCGGCAAGAGATAGTGAACAATAAAACTACTGCTGATGTTGCCGGAAATGTACTGTTGGTGACGATTGAGGGTGTCGATGCTCGCCTCGTCAGCATTGATGTTTTGCACTTGGTAAGCTGTCATGGTCTTCCCCGAACTAGTAAACATCTAGTTGTATGATAAGAATATTAGATATGGTTTTTGTAGTTCAGCTCTATAATTGGTGGTGGTCATGTTTTGAAGAATTTCTGTTTGACATGAATGTGCATGGATCAGCAGGCTTTTGTCATTGAAAATTCTCAGATGGCAAGCTTAATGCATTGAAAGAAAGAGCACGTGTGTTTGTCTCCTTCTCCTTTGCTTGACAAGGCTCTTTCCCCTTTTTCCTTTTCTTCTTCCCATTCCTACTGCTAGAAAGATGATCTTGTTCTTTTTCTGTATGTGTTCCCATTAATTTGTCCATCTTCTATTCACGATATCATCTTTATTGGATAGTTTTTGTTCATGCAGGTTTAATATTGGTTCATTGTTTCCCTGTGCAATTAATCAATTATTGTCATATTGCCAAATTTGATTTGGTATTCTTTAATTAGATACTGTCACTCATCATTAAAGAGTGCTTTTGCACTAAACTGGTAGCCCTTTGTATTCCTGCCTCCCCCTAGGACTACCAAACTACTGTTCTTCACTTTTTTTCTTCCTTCTATTAAGCAAGAACAGTGCTAAATGGATCAAGTGTTCTTGTTTGGCATATGTTGGATATATGTCCAAATGTGTCCCATTTTTTCAATTATTTTTCCTTCCTAATATACTGAAGGCAGTTGTATTCAAAATTTGATGCTGATGGAAGATTAAAAAAAAAAAAAGAGCATATGTAAGTGTTTAAAATTATTGACAAAGACTAATGTGGAATAATACAAAACTATCAAGTTGTTGTAACTTGCGTGATTTGATGGGGCATATGGGTTGCCCTACTTTCTGAAATTGAGTGTAGATATTTAAGCAATGACCACTCGGCACATGGTTTAGGATTGGAAATAATAATTTCTTTTTTATTTGTATAGAAATCCTTAATGTATATTGGTGCTTGGTTTTGATACTGAGAGTTTGGAGTTCTACTCAATTAGGTGGGCCATCAAAACATGTCGTATTTTCATCAGCAGCAAGTTTTTTTTTTTTGATGCTCTAACTTGTAAATCTATCTTATTATTTTAATATTATTAAATAAATCAAATATCTTTTTCTGAATTGATAACTGTTGAGGACATTATTTTCTGGTTAAATATCATCAAATTACTATTTTTAAGGGGTGATTTGTCTAAAATATGTTATTTTTCAATGCTTTCAATTGTTTTTGCTTGTTTTTGAATTAAGGAGAACACAAGTTCCTTAATGATGCATTCTTTATGTTGTCACTACTCCTTGTTATATTTTTTGTGGGAGTACTGACCACAATTACAGGTTGAACAAGGAGCAATCATATAACTAAGATTTAAGATTCTTTTGAAATTTTGATCCCTTATCTTAAGGTCCAAGAATCTTCCACCATCTTTTTGGATACTAGCTAAGCCCTGAGAGTGCAACAGCAGCGCTTCCACATATCTATCCAGCTAAAAACTTCTGTATATTTTCTTCCTGGTTTGTTTGAAATGTGGGACTATATGATTTGTGATTTGTAACAGGTAATAAATGACCTATATGTTAACCTGTGGGCTGATGGATTGATGGTAGACACATTTTATTTGCTTCCTGGGGATGTTGTGGAGATATTTCAAGATGATAGTAATTTTCTTCTCTATCCCTTAAATTTAATTTATGGATCATCTCAGTATCTTCATGTCTTGTGTTCAGTTGGGTGTGAAGAGATTCAGTGGCATGGACAATAAGCATGTAACAAAGTGTTGGTTGTTTGGAGTCGTAATTGCTTGTTATCATGAAGAGCAGTGGAAGGAAAAATAACCACATGTGAATCACAATCTTTGTGTAGTTGTATTTTTAAATGTAGAAGGAAGGCTTTTGCTTTTATCATATTATCTAATCTGCAAGCTGATATATCAGCTACTTGTTTCTTATGTTTGCTTGCCTCTTTAAAGGTACAAATCTGATATGAGAAGGATAATAAATGTGACTTCATCTGAATTTAAATCTTCAATGTCTAATAATTTTGTTTAAAAATAGGCATTTCCTGGCATACAATGATACAATAATTAAGCTTTTGACTTGTGATCCTAAAAAAGGCTTGGAGCATTGTTGATTGTTTGCAAGGTATTCCCACCGCCAGTAGGATGATTTGAATACATGTGAGTGTATATACGTACAAGTTTGGTAGTAGATAGTTTGTTTTGCTAATGGTGTGGGATGTGGAGATATTTGGGATTAATAGTAATAGCTGAAGAGAAGTTCCTTCTTTTTATGTCTCTCGCAACAGCAGCCTATGTGGTATTCCAAGTTGGGGTAAATTTTATGGACCTCTAATGCAAACAAGCTTAATGAAATCGTGGTGTTGAATAATAGTAGATTGATCACACTGTTGAATTTATGAACTCCAAATCTGAGCAAGTTTAATGAGTTTGTGGTGTGGAACAGTATTATAATGATGACAGTGTTATTTTCGTTTATTCTCTCCTGCAAACTACATAATAGGTCAACAAGGCCATTTTCTTTGATTTGTGATATTTTGTGGCTGATTTTTAGTTGTAAAGATTAATTCCAGCAAAGTATATTATCAGGAAAATTAGAATAATTGGAAGTTATTGGAATTAATTATTTCTTAGACTTCAATTCTGATGGAGGCTCTCTGTGTTTTTCTTACAAGTATGTTTTTCTATTTGATTCTTTACATGTTTAGTTTGTATTCTTGTTGTTATATTTTATCATATAAAATTCTGATTGTCTGGAGCTCAGATGCATAAATGGGTTTTTAATGAATTCCTAAATTTCTGTATTAGACCTCTGAAATGTGATGGATTATACTTGCAGGTATTTTCAGCCTTTGGATTTGTGCATAAGATTACTACCTTCGAGAAGACAGCTGGTTTCCAAGTATGTATATCTATCACATAGTAGGTGAATTTTGACTTTAGTGACATTAATTCACTTCTTTAGAGATATCCTTGACAGGCATTGGTGCAATTTTCTGATCTGAAACTGCCTCTTCTGCAAAAGATTCCCTTGATGGAAGAAGCATTCCGAGGTGATGTAGATTTAATTTTGTGGCTTGGGATGTAGTCAACTGTTATGGATGATATATGTGTTGGTGTGGCAGAAATACAATTGGGGTTGGGCATCTATCAGGCCCCCTTTTAAGTGTCTGCAGGGGGTACACACATACTCCTTATTTCTTTCCCTCCTCTTTAGTTGTTCTATATGAGTTTTCCGATTTTTCTCCATTTGGCATCTCCTTTCTGAAGATTTTTAGATGGTTACAACTAATTTGGGATATGCTGAGATGGGTTGACTAGATGGATTAATAGGCTTATTCACTCAATTAGGCAATATAAAATTATAAATACAGCCTAAAATGGTCTTGTTGAGTGGTATTGTGTGATAAATCTTCTGCAAAGGTATCATATTGATGTTTTAGACTATCCTTTCTGTAGAAAATGTTAAATTAAGCCATCAAAATTATAATCCCTTTTTTTAATCCATTTGCACTTCTGGCATCTTACATTCTTCCCCTTTAATGTTTGCATAGTGGTCAACTGACATTTCTGTAATCATGTATGTGTCAGGTACTTGATTCCTGATTTGGGGCCATGTTCCCTTAGAATTACATATTCTGCACATACAGACTTGAGTGTGAAGTCCAATCTCATCGTAGCAGGTATATTTGCCTAGTTTTTAGTATATGAATCTTTGGATTTGAGGAAAAAATTTGGCATTTGTCAACTACAAATTAAAACAGAGTAAAATACGGTTTCAATTGCTAGCACTATT